TGGGGCGTCAAGTGGTTGACGGGTCGTCCTGTTGCTCCGTCATTTTTTACTAAGGCTCCTCATTTGGGAGATAAGCTCCCAAGACTAAGTGTTGAGCTACGCCCCCTTTTGATGGAGCCTCGATTGGTTGAACGCGTGTCAAATGAGATCATCAATGAGATTATTTTGGCAGCCTCTTGGTGAACATTTGGGTCCTCCTCAAGGAACCTTAGTGTGGTCGTTGGGGAGTCGTACACAAATGTTTCGAACCTAAATACGACCACCTGGATTCTAGGGTCTCATAAACTTAGTTTAGACACTAAACGACATATTAAAATGCATAAAACATGCAAATGCACACTAGCACACACAAAATGTCTTGGTCGTTCTTTGACGTCTGACTTACCAAAGTTCTTAAAATGGACTTCTAAAGCTATTCTTCATTATTTTAACACATTATTATTTGAAGATAACATGTGAAGCTCTAACTTGTCCTATTTAATTTTAAGGGTCGTCTCATTACTCAATGCTAACTATCTTTCATAGTAGTCTATCAAGAATAACATTCTATCTTGCTAAGCCTAAATAACATTGAAACATCATATCATAAATCAAAACTAAAATATGAAGGTTACAATTAGACCAACCTATCCAGCATGCACCCATTCTATGAAGATGCAAGCTATCCATAAAGGAGTATAAATTCTCAACCCTAAGCTACCCTGAGTAATCTAACTCAAGCTATTCCATGAAATGCACCTTACATGGAAGCCAAACTATCATTAGGAGAGGATGATTCATCTATCCTAAAGCTACCATGAAATCGTTTTTGCCTAACCATGTCAATTTATCATGAAGACATTCTAATCATGCTACTTCAAGCTATCACTGGGGAAGTATCAAGCCTCCAACCTAGGCTACCTTGCCTATACTAATTCAAGCTACCATGACAAGAATTTTACTAATGCATGATAGAGATAACCATGGGAGAGCCGAAATCCTTCAACCCAAGCTATTATGAGATTCACCACCCCAAGATACGATGAGATCTACCATCCCAAGCTATATAATTCAACTATCCATGAAGGAGTCATAAAACTCAACTTCAAGCTATTCTATCTTGGTCTTATCTTACCAAGTCAACTATACAAGTGATTATATAGCACAACTTCAAGTTATTCAACTATCATGCTTTCATTCATTTTAGGTTCTTAAGTCAACCTAGAACCCATCTATGTGAGAGAACTTGCTTCTCCTAGCCTATTCATGTCTATGTTTATAAGAGAAAGAGAATACTCAATCAAGATCTCCCCGTATTGAATTTACCCCCAAAGCCCTAACAACAATGTCTATAAGCCTTATTTTCAATGCTAGCTTCATTCTATCATGATGCATGTCTTAGTTAGAAGCTATTCAATCACATTGATCTTTAGAAGGTAATTTTAGTCATACTTGATCATATAGGTTCAGTTCTAACTTTACAAGTTAAAATCTTTCTTATTCAATTAAACATAGTTAAATTCATTTTTGGATGATCCTAACAATGATCCATAGTATTCAACACAATTAAATTAAAGAGATGAATTTAGAACCTTCAACCTTCCCTCTAATAGTCTAAACCCACAATGATCACCTTCATCATCTAAGATTAAAGTTCATCATGGAATTCATATGAAACATCATATAATCATCCCATAAAAATAATTCAAACATAATTGAATGCTATCCACTACTTTGGAATCACAATCAAGCTTTACCCACAATGTAATCACAACGCTAGCTAGATTGGGGTATTTTGGATTCACAACTAAGAGAAACTATGGGGGCTCCATGGATGGAAGAATCCGTGGATTAAGGATATTCACATAGCTTTGATTGATGCCTTAAATTAAGCTTGAAACCTTGGTGAAACCCGACGTAGATGTTTCCTCCTTCTTTTCTTCTTCTTCTTCTTCAATGGTGATGTTTAGAGAACTTTAGGGAGGGAAGGGTGTATTTTTGAAGGGTGAAGTCTAAATGACAACTTAATTGTTTTAATATACTTAGAATACCTAAAAGAATTTACCAATTCACCGCTTTATTGGCTGAGACTTAGGCAGTATTGCAGGTGACCATTGACGACCACCATTGACGGACCATCAATGGATTGACGGTCCCATCCCGACAGTCTGTCAATGAGAGTTTCCAAATGGATCTAAGATCCAAAAGTCTAGTTTCAACTAACGAAATCCATTAACGCTCCATTAATGCATTGATGGTCTGTCAATGGTTGCTGTTTTGACAGCTTTTCGACAAACGTTTGGGTACTCCTCAAGGACCCTTAGGGTAGTCTTAGGGAGTCGTACCCAGACGGTTTGACTCTAAACACAAGTGTCTAGATAATAGGGCCACCACCAATCATTTTAGACTCCAAACGACAGTTCAAAAAAAGGCAAACATACTAGAACACACTAGTACACAAAGGACTAGTTTTCGAACGTCTTGGTCATTTCTTGGCGCTTCACTTCTAAACTCACAAAACTAAGTTAATTGCATTAGATTAGGTCTAGAAACATCATTTTAACCCTTTTTAAGTTATTAGACCTCATGTATGGCTCTAGCTTAGATCATACGATTTCCGGGGTGTAACAATATTGTACTCATTTGAAGGTTTGGGATCACTTGAATACTTGAAAAAATTAACAAAAACTCACATCTATTGTCTCCCTATTTTTATTCCTTTCATCTTCAATATTTCTTATCTTATCTTGATTTAGTTTTACAGCATAAAGAAAATTTTGAACAAAATTACTGTCAGTAACATAATTCATTGACAAAACTATCACCTTATAATATTTTGACTTAAGTCATTTGTGGTTCCTTACAGTTGTTCGTATAATTCGCTTAGATACGTCTATTAGACACTTCAATCTTAATTAATAGATACCTATTAAACATTTTTTTGGCATTTAGTTTAAAGAGAAAGTGCGTGTAATACACATGCATATGAGGTGGAAAAATGACAAATTAAATGAAGACAAGTAACATTTTAATTTAAAAATAATTATAAACATGAACTTTGAATACACAAAATCCTAAAAGAAAATACTTTAAAGTAAAAAATAAGAAATAAAAAATTATACACCCCCTAACCCCACCCTCGCACCCCACCCACCTCAAACCTTTCCATTTCTTCTATTTCCTTAACAGAAGTACCTTGTCCACAATCGTTAACCTCCATTTAGAAGACTTAGAGGCTTTAACATATATCATTTATGAATTTTATTATTTTTATTTCTCTTTATGTCTTCTTTCTTATTTTCATTTAAATTAATAGTTTTTTTATAAGAGTCAATGTTTTTGAATTTCAATTTCAAATTATTTTTTTCCTTTTCGATTTGTGAGGAGAGGTGAAGATAGAGGGAGAGAGAGATATTTAAATAATAATCTCCATTTTTTTCAGCAAAGACGTTATGAATGATCTCGATTTTTCCAGCAAAGAAGACGTACATAATAATCTCCATTTTATCTTACAAAGAACTGGTGATATCCATCTTTTTCCACGGAAGTGACGATAATAAGTGATTAAAAAATTAAATGAGAGGAAGAAGAAAAAGAATGTTTTTTTTAAAAATAAAAGAGAAATAAAAATAATAATTGAAAAGAAAAAGAAAAGTGTTAGAATATTGATTTCATGCGTTTACCAATGTTAAAACATTTTTGTGTCACGTCTACATAAAGTGTCTAAAGGGTTCAAATTCGAGAGGATAGAGATGTTAATAGGTACTAGCCTAGTTGAAGTGTCTAATTGAATTACGTGAACAACTTTAAGGGCTTGCAAATGAATAAATCTTAATAATTTTATTCATTCCGCACAATTTAAGAGTATTTTAGACTCTTTTTTTCGTTAAAAAAAATAAAAGACTAAAAAAAGAAAGAAAGGTAAATATAAAACCGAAAAAGGATTAAAAAATGCTTTAAACTATGTGAAAGGAACAAAAGTGTCATCCGTTTATAGTTTGATCCAAAAATGTCCTTCTCATCAATATTTTGGTCCAAAAATGCCCTTATTGTTATTTTGGGTAAAAAATACTTGTTTTTTCAAACAAATTATTATTTATTTTCGTTTTAAACACGTTCTTTTTCTTATAATATTTTTTATTTATAAATTTTTTATCTTCAATTAAAAAAATGAGAATATTTCTTATTTTATTATAATTATTTTCTATCTCTATATAAATATAAATTAATGATATATATACTATGATCTTATACATATAACATATACGTTCCTTTTCTAATAATATTTTTTATTTATGATTTTTTAATCTTCAATTCAAAAAAAATATTTCTTATTCTATTATAATTATTTTCTATCGCTATATAAATATAAATTAATGATAGATATACTATGATCTTATACATGTAACATATATTATATGTTGAAATAATACATAAAATTATTTAAACTTTAATTGATAAGATGAGATTACGAAGAAAAATAATATCTCCTACATTTTAATTTGTTAAAGTGGTTTGAAAAGAAAGAAATCAAAGATTGTAGTTCTTTAATAATTTAATTAAGAAGAAAATTTGATGAAAACTATTTATTTTTTTTTGAAAAAAGACATTTTTGACCCATTTTAATAACAATAGATTATTTTTAAACCAAAAATATTAATAATAAAAAATATTTTTAAATCAAACTATGAATCAAATACATTTTTATTCATTTCAGGTAATTTGAAAGCATCTTTGACTCATTTCTTGTATAAAAAATTGTAATTGCCCGATAAAGAAAAGGGCAGACATTGGGAATTCTGTGAAAGGCAAGGCTAACACAGTGAAAGACGAGAAGACCTAAATATCGTTGAGTCAACTCATTGAATATCTATTACGAGCAACTTAAGTGTTTGATTGCCATGTTTTCTCCTCAATTTTCTTCAGGTTTGCTCCTTTTTTAAATTCTTTTTTTTATAAAGTATCCTGGTTATGGGGAATTCAAGATCTTTGCTTTTTTTCTTTGTTTCGATGGATTACTGTATTAAGTGGAGAAGTAATATAATCTTTGTTGATTGAGGGCTTTCTAATATAATTTTTGCTTGTTTATTGTTTTGGCCTGCTCGAATTTTTTCTATTATAAATTTTAAATCTTTTCTTTTTTTTGTTTTTGGGCAGTGTTTTGTATAGAAAAGCTTTTTAAATAATTGTTTCGAATCAAGACAATTAAGAGTTGTTTACAAGGATTATTCTGAAGTTTGTGCTGTTAACGAATTCGAGGATCATTCTCATAATTGAGAAATCTGAAATAGGTTTCAATTAATCACACAACTTCTTGATCTCTAAATATTTTTTTTAGTAAAAGAATACGGTGAAATCTGACAAGGTTATTCAATATCTATGTTAAATCCATGCAGCGGAAATAGCACAAACTCTGAGGGTGATTTCATATAGATGCAGCCTCTATCTTTATCTGGTAGTATTACTCGTTGTAAATAGTCTGTAAGCATGATTTCATTACGCTTCATGTTGATATCCATGCTAATAGATAGAGTTCCATGTACGAAAATATTCATAAGTAACACAGCGTAGCCATCAAGTGTTAGCTGACCATGAATGCAACTGGCTTGCAAGTTCTTGTATCTATGAATGGATGTTTAAACATAGCAAGGATTCAACTTCCTAATATTATGTATTTTTCTACTTGCAGAATATCTATTTTGAACAAACAACTTATTCTGTTCCATAGCTAAAAGAAGGAAAGAACGTGGCACAGCAACTATCAGAGAAACCATCTAGTATGCACATTCAAGAAAAATCCGTGTCTTATACCCAAAGATGGTACTTCACTACAGAAGAAATAGAAGACCACTCTCCATCAAGAAGGGATGGAATTGATTACGAAAAAGAGTCTCATCTAAGGAAGTTGTACTGCGTGTTCCTGCAAGAGCTTGGGATAGAGCTTAAAGTGTAAGATCTCTCTATTCTATTGAAAATTTTGATATCTACAGGTAGCACGACACCATATCCTTTTGATTCTCCTCTTACTCTCATTCCCTTATTTTTTCTGAGAGAACTCATGCAACTTGGTGTATGCTCAGTTTCTCATAGGAGGTTGTTGGACATTTTATTTTTTCAGGCCTCAAGTGACAATAGCTACTGCAATGATGTTGTGCCATCGCTTTTACATGCGCCAATCTCATGCAAAGAACCACTGGCAGGTTGAAGTCCTTTCTGACTGTTGTATTCCCCATTTACTAAAAAATACAGATTTTTTACCAATCATTTCTTTTAAGTATGGTTAATGTCTTGCAGTCTGTTTAAATATTTGTGCTCTCAAACTGGGAATTGAGCTGCTTGACAGGATATAACATTGTGTAGTTATGCTTTAACTCTAACAGGAAGAAACTATATAGCTAATGTACAATTGTTCACATAGTACTCTGGAGTTAACCTCTGTGACTAACTGGATTTATTTATTTTTGATCAAGAAAGTAGTAGATAAACAAACTAACTGGAATTGGTTCAGATATAATTTTAAGTCAGATGAGGCTTAAAGCATTATATTAAGTATGTCTCTCTCTTTGATTCATCATACACTCTTTGGTGTGGCACTGCATTCTGTACAGATTGTCGCAACTGTGAGCATGTTCCTTGCTGGTAAAGCTGAAGAAACACCACGCTGGCTGAGTGATCTTGTTGTTGTTGCCTACAAGCTTGTATATAAATGGGATCCATCAGCTCCGCTGAGGATCAGGCAGAAGGTGTGTCATCAAATATTCAGTTCTACTATCTTCTGTACTTTTTTCCCCCTAATGTCTTTGCTTCATATCATAGGATATTTATGATAAGGAAAAAGAATCAGTTGTAGCTGGTGAGAGAATGTTGCTTGTCACAGTTGCTTTTGATCTTAGCATCCAACATCCTTACAAGGCACTTGTTGCTGCTATGAAGAGGTTGGAAATTTCTAACAATGAGATGGTCAAAGTAGCCTGGAATTTTGTGAATGATTGGTTAGTATCTTTTCATGCAATGGTGATGGTTCTTTATTTGTAGAATGTTATGCACTTATTGTTTACTTCCAATTTTGAAACGCCAGAAATTAATAATGATGTGGTTGGTAGGCTTCGCACAACACTGTGCTTGCAGTACAAGCCCCATTATGTCGCTGCTGGTTCCATGTTCCTTGCTGCTAAATTTCTGAAGGTGAAATTGCCTGCCAAAAAAGGGAATCCCTGGTGGATGCAGTTTGACGTTGCTCCGAAGAAGTTAGAAGGTATGTTATATAATTAAAAACCTACAGGGTTTTCACAATACTCTGTTTTTTTTATGACAAGGGAAACCCGCACAGGGTAAAACCCCCGCTCCTATGCAATAGCTCGTGAACCACATAAGAGAGGTAACCAGCACTAGGAAAGCCCGGTGCGATGAGCTCGACCCAGAAGGCAAACCCCTTGCTTTTGCTAGCAAAGGGTTTCAAACTTGAGACCTCCAACATGGAAGTCCCAATCACAAACCACTAGGCCATCCCGAAGGGTCACAATTCTTTGTTATTTAAAGGTAATGAAGAAATCTTCATCGTAAAGTTAAGATCATAATAATGCTAGTGAGGTCTTAAGAAGAGAAAACTGAATCTGCTGATGGTAGAGCTTCAAATTGAATATCGGAGCTGTTTCTCACTAACAATCCAGAAATTAGATTGCAAAATGTGCACATTTGGTTCGTTTAGATCAATTTTATAATGTCATCATCAATTAGGAGGAAAACATATAAGAAATGTAGTGTTGTTTTTGTAATTGTGATATGGTTGGACAAAGACATGTAAAGTTCCAGTCATGTAAAACTAATGTTATTAACAGATGTACTTGTTTAAAACAGATGTCTGATAGACATTCTGTGATTATGCAATAATATACTGAAAGCATCTCTCAGGGAAAGAGGACATAAAATTTATCTTGTAAAGTACTTTTAATCTATCTTCTTAACTTTAATATCATATGTTCCCTTCCTTATTCTTGCTCTTTGGGTAATTGAAACAATCCTACAATTATCATGTGGCGGGACTGTTGTGATATATGGGATACCAGAGCATATATCCTTTACCTTTTTTGAGCACTAAAAGAGGAGAGACCTTACTTTGTATTGAAGACTCGTTTGCAGTGAACCTTTTCTTTAAATGAACAAGTTCTGAAACTATGATGTTCACTACACTAGGTAACAACTGATAATCTATAATTCAATTATTTGTGGGATATCATTACTTCTGCATTGTTTGAGTTTCCTCGTGTATAGTTATTTTTTGAAAACTAACCCTTCTTCCTGGGTAAATGTTTCCCTTCTATCCTGTTATGCTCTTTCACGTCCTTGATTACTCGGCAGCTCACTTTTTCTTCCTTTTACTCTTTTTCAGAGGTTATTCAAAAGATGCTTCAGTTACTGGAGCAGAATCAGAAACAAGTAACACCATCCACTTCCAGCAAGTTGACCGAATCAAAACCTGTTGCTGAAAAGGCTACATCAAGCATCGCAGAGTCTTGTATCTCAAGTGTGTCAGTTGTTGCTCAAGAATCCAGGAATATTGGATTGGTAAAGACTAGAGGACTATCTACATCTGTGACATCCAAATTCATTGAGAAAGCATCCTGCAACAGCATCAACACTGTCAAAGAGGAGACAGAGCATTGGGAGACTAGTGAGTGTGGTAGTGCAAACAGTGCAGTTGAGAATGGTGTTTGTCAGCCAGTAAAGAATGAGGGCGGAAAAGAAATTTGCCATGCTGTCTCTGTTAGTGATCACAATGGAAAATTTGATATTGATCGAATCAAGGAGAGATTGAAGAGACGGAAATTGGAGCAGAGTTCAATGAAGAAATCATCCATGTATGACGAGATCGATAGTGAGGGTTGGATTGAGAGAGAGCTGGAAAATTTGGAATAGTGTCACTTTATGCTTGTCCATTCGATGAAATAGTTTTTGTGGTAGTATAAGCAGAAAAAGAAAACAGGATCACACTTATATGATGCACTGTAATTAGGAAGGTGCAGATGTGAAAACTTTCAGCTAAGAAGTTAGAAATTCAGAAACTGCTCCCAGCTATGGTAACATATCTATCTTGGTTCAACTCTTGTTTAGCAGATAATGGACCCCCATACAAGGTCTACTGTGCATAATATTGGCTCTTCATGCCTTGACGTTTTTTAATATAAAGGGTGTGATTTTATGCAAGTCCATTTTACATGCTAAGCTAAAATACCACTGTTCAGCCTCTTTTTGAGCTCAGTAGAATTTTACTGTTTAAAGATGTTATGCCCCAGATAGAGAGGATAAAATACATATTTGTTGAGCTATGCGTTGAATAAGATAATACAATGGAGAGTCGCGCAATATTAATCCTCTGCCAGAAAAGGAAGAGAAGTGATAGAAAGGAGCTCGCATTTTTGAAAAGAAACCATTTTGTAAGGATGTAAAATGGGAAGGAATTGTTTGTGGAAGGTAAGCGAAAAGTAGTAAACAAGACTATTTGGGTCTCTCATAAGCGCATTTTTGCAGCTTGGTTTGCTTAATTATTTATAGTCGAAGAAAATACTTCGAGTGGTTAAGCTAATTCTTGGTTGTTTTCTTACTACCCTGTAATTGTGAAGCACTTCAGTGTTATTGTACTCAGAGAAGACAACTTTAACAACTTTTTTAGTTGTGGACATATTTACTGGGTTACTGAATAAGCAAGTGATGACCGACTATGGAAGTTATCATTTCATCTTCTATCATGAGCTAAATGCTCTCTTTAAGAGAAATGTAATGCAACAAACAATTGGCATTTTTGTTGTCAAAATTATTACTCTAATTATTCGAGTAAAAGTTATTTTGCTTGAAAGGAATTAAAGAATATTGAGGATAATAAAGAATCCAATTGTTTTGTAATATATATATATAT